TGCGAATATGGCGAAATGTAAACGAGCCTATACACACACTAAAACAGACATACATACACATATACATAGATGTATTGTATGTGCACGCTTTGTGCGCATCTTCATTATGGCCAACATTGTTGTTGCACTTGTTTTGGTATACTAAAAAGCGACGCAGGTAAGGCACATACATTAATGAAATAACGGTATAAGCGTAAACTGGGCTTCTAGAGTTGAGTAAAGTTTGGACGGAGTGAAAAAAAACAATTTGTTGCTGTCACTTTGGTGGAGCTGCGGGAAATGTGTTAGAGGAGCGTCGGAAAAAGAAAGAAATAACAACATAAAACAAGCAACAACAGGAAGTGAGGAGCTGAGGAGCGGCGGAAGTTTAGTGCGACTTTGGTATTTATGCAGATTATCAATGCGATTTCTATGCAAACTTTTATTCCTTCAGCGCTTAGCTGTTTGCGCTAGTTTTTGAACCTTGAACTTTAAACGCTAAGCAAAGGAATAGGGTGTAATTACTTTGCATCGACCAACACACACACACACCAGGCTATTACATATGCATGGAAGTTTATTATTCAAACGCGGGGCAAATGTAAACTAACCACGAATGGGATTATTTCTGCGAAAATGTTCGAGTGACATGAAATTATTTCCAAGAAGTGATTGAGTGCAGTGCGGAAGTTCTCATCTACATATATACCGTTGGCGTTTAACGATATGTGCATATGTTTGTGTGTGTGTGTGTCTGCATGAATTATTAAAATATTATTACTGTATTACTAAGGTTATGGCAAATTGTTTTCTACGAAATATATAATGACAATAATATAAAATATTGGACGATTAAAGTGTTGCTGTTTAGATTTACTAATTAGAAATAAACGGTAAGTGCAATTAATATCATTCGCTTACATTCTGTACATTAATTAGCTTCAGTTTATAATACAATACGAAGAACTCCATGCGTGTAAATAAAGATATTAAAATAATCTAAAGTGGGGGCTGTATATACGTGAACTAGTCCCTCAGTTTTTGAGATATCGATCTGAAATTTGGCACACGTCCTTTTATTTTCATGGAGCTGCTCACTTGTTAGAACCGCCGATGCGTATAGCTGTAATACAAACTTTTCGATGAAAACCCAGTACTTGTGTGGTGAACTTTAGTATTTGACGAGATAACTTTACGAAACTTGGCATGGGTTATTGTCAAAGGCAACGCTACAACATGTTTTTCGGATTGGACCTCTATAGCATACAGCTGCCATGCAAACTGACCGATCAAAATCAAGCCTTCCTTAGGAAAACTCTTTTATTTAACAACATATCTTCACAAAATTTGGCTTCGATTATTGTCCGAGGCAACGCTACTGCGAACAAATTGCTTAGATCGTACCCTTTTATGTTACATGAAATGCACCTATGAAGAGTATTATAGCTTCGTTGTAGACGAAATAAGCATTTCTTCTTTTATTCTGTAAAATATCTTATTTTTTACATTTTCGGAATAAAAATATTAACAAAATCTTGATTTTAAAGGCGATAAGTAAAATAATTCAATAAAATATTAATTACTTTAACTTCATTTGGAGCCTAAATGTAGGCAAATTTTTTATTAGCATTAAAGTGTATACAAATAAATATTGCCTATATTTAGGCAATCTGTTAAGTACGGTGTGGGCGCGAAAGACATTGTTTCAATAAAACTGAACTGCATTTATTCCTAATCAATTAATTTGATTTAGTTTAAGCTTTAAATGACGTACAATGGATGTTTGACACACCCTAATATATTATATATATGCATATATTGTATATACCATATATATTCAATATTTGATTACATACCACTTTCTTTTAAAAGTATATTCATCAACTATGTACATATGACAAATACCAAAGGTTCAAGGTATTAACAGTGAATTATTAAACAGCGCTGTTAAAGCTATCAATAAATGTGTTACAATAATTACTTATTATGGACTGATTGATTATTAATAGGGAAAATAAAGAATGGAATATCATATTCATAATGTTTAACAAAACGCTGCCTACATTAAGCATAAGCATCACACACAAATATACCCAATTATTAATCTATGTATGAAGCCAACACGTTTCGAATGCGAAAATTTCATTTCTCTCAACAAGTCTCAATCGATAATTCAGCATTGTAGAGAGGATTACGCCAAACTTCACATGTGCTTTTAACAGCTACGCGAAACAACAGAAAAGGTTTATACGATTCTTGCAAAAAAAATGTGGAAAACGGTTGGGCTCAAGGGCCATCCCTGCAACTTCCCTCTAATTTCATACGCTAACGTTCAAATTTCGCTTTTTTCACTGCTTTTGAGCTCTTCTAAATTTTTCGTTTTCGATATCTAGCAAGTAAATCAACCGATTTCGACCCGGTTTGCGGCAAACGATGTGTTTCTTCAAGGTTTAGAACTGATTAGTTTTTGGTGTCGATCGGTCAAGTCGTTTGGAAAAAATTCTTATTTTTGAGATTTCTCGAAATCTACTGGTCCTTTGGAATGCCGTTTAGTTTATTCAAATCGGTTGAGCAGTTTAATAGTTATAAGAGGGTCACATACATCCACACACACACACATACATCCACACATACATACAGACATACGGACATCATCGTAGAAATGTTCGGGGAAGCTTCCTCGACCCTCAGAACGTCGAGATCTGTTGAGAACTCGATTTTTGCAAAAAACCAATATCTTCCCGATTTTTAGAAAATTTTCCATTTTCTTAGCGGGAAGTTAAAAATATGTAATAGATTTTTGTAATATAATATTACCAAGTATTATATATACATAAGAACGCAAGTAAGAATTGGTACAACACGGCGTATACGCAACTTAACTTCGATCAATGCTCAGTGATGTTATTACGAGACTTATTTACATGCTGCTTGTTACTATAGGCTAAAAGATTTTCGAGTATAGGCATGTATTTATGCGATGCTGTACACACACACATCCATATATGCATGCAATCATGTATGTATACTTGTGAATTATATAATATATTCCACGTCCATCTATGCGCCGTTGACCTGACCTACTTTTAAGACGACTTCTATACCCGATTTTGCCGTCGAATGGCAATAACAGCCGCATTGCCAATGGCGAAAATTCGTGTTTAACTTTTGGTTCATGTAATTAGGCAAACCAATACATACATATGTATATTTACGTATAGCATTATATATTAGCAACCAAATGCATTCATAGAAAGCAGCTTTCTTCCTCATCTCGTTTGATTATGTGAAACTTTGTTTAATCTCTTTTACATTTTTAACTACTACTATCGAGTGCATGCTTGGATATTGAATTTTCGCTTTCAAGTCGCTTTTTCATGTCATCACGCACTGAAGACTTTGCCAGTACCTTTCTTAATAAAACACAGACATTCGTATTTCCAGGAATTCTGTTACGTTCATACAGATTTTTAAGAATTTGTGGAAAGCTGCAATGTATTTAATATAATTTTCGTGCCTTCCAGTTCACAAATCATTTATTATGGATTTTTGAAACCATAAAACTATAGAAGAAAATGAGAAAATGCTGATAACGTCGAAATCGTTCATATTTTGCTGTGATTTCACTCTATCAAAGAAAAGCGTCGGAATAAAGAGAAGGTAGAAAGGGAAAGGTACAGACTTCAAACTGAACTGAATTTGGCCCCTGAGTGTGACAAGACGTAAAAAGAAGATGCGACGCAACCTCAAAACCTTTTTTTTAAGTTCTGAAATATGTTAGAGCTCGATGAAGGAATGTGGACATAACACAGTAGACTATTGTTATTTGTTTAGGGATAATCTCTTAGTTTGTGGTACTACATATCCCTCATCAATAAATATTATATACGCCTAGTTGGTATGACTACTAGCGCGAGTATAGGTTAGGTTAGTGATACTGGCTGCCTGTTACGCCATACATAGACCTAATGGTTCTTAGTAATGCCATAGGGAGATTCAGTTTAATTCGAGCTGAAGTATTCGTCATACAGGACATCTACGCTTTTGGGAACTTTAAGAGAGACTCGCCACTTTGAATTGCGAAGCTCCTATATAAGGCTGTACAGAAGCTGACGGGGTGTTCCAGCGTCACTCTCATGCCTACTTCCCTGCACTTTCTGCATATATCGTCGTTACTAATGCCTTCCCTGCACTTTCTGCATATATCGTCGTTACTAATGCCCATTCGGTTCGCATGTGATGCTAGTAAATTGTGACCTGTCAATAGACCAACAACCGTCCTGCAGTCCTTTCGAGACTGTTTGAGTAGACAGTATATGTCTTTTTCTTTGGGGTCCTAGCACATGATCTTTGCGATTCTTCAATCTATAAGGCATTCTATGCCACCCTGATCCGTCTATCAGCTTTTTTGTTTCCCAGAATTCATTTGTGGCCTGCGTGAAGCGTGAAGGGTTGCCTGAGATCCAAGCAATAGATTCCGGCGCCCACTTCAGCCGCATGCTCCAGCGCCAAGCACCCTCTCTTAATGTGACTTTAAACCTTCTCTCCCAGATAAAAAGTGAGGGTATGCGATCTATTTTATCCACCAATCCCCCGCTTTTGGGTCCTTGTGCAGAGCCTTAAATTGCAATGCCGATTGGTGGCAGGTTGAGTAACTTTTCTAGCGCAGAGTAGTTCTTAGCGCTCAGCGGTTTTCTGTATGAGATTTTGCTGAAACTGGTCCACCATAACAAAGCACCGTAAAGCAAGATTGACTTGACTACCGCTATGTAATACCAACTCTCTTTTCTACATTGAGTTTCCACTTCAGTTTGCTAGCCAAAATTACTCCCAGGTACTTGGTATGCTCCTTAATTGCCACTAGGCAAGCCGTATACTAAAATGTACATTACAAATGGCAATTGGCTACCAATCATTGACAAGTAAGCAGCTATTCGTCATTGAACTATTGTTTTATTTTTAAATCTTTGTATGTATCAAAATTTGAGTTAAATGTTTTTACAATTCAAAGATATACTCACTCTGCGATTATTGCCAAAACTATTTTGTCGACCCAGAGACTCTTCAGTGCTGTACTCTTTTTGAGTTTGTGATGATGATGATAGACTTGGAATATTTGTAGCGACTGCTACTTGCGATTTTGTGGAACTCATAATCACAGTTCATTTATTTAAATTCTGCAAGAAACAAGAAAATTCGGAAATTGTAATATTTCAGTTAAAAAAAAAAAAATAAACATTAAAAAAGTAAAATAAAATAAACAAATTTGCGCTTACATCCAAATATAAACATTGGAAATTACCTCAGGTTAAATTAATGCATTTCTACAACTATTAAACGCATTTGACTGTTCGATATTGTTTCTGGTAATAAAAAGGAATTTTTACGTATTTTATTGTGCATCACCGTCACACCCATTGTTCGGTACACGCTTTGCAGTTGTTGCTATTATTGAATTTAGAGGATTTGGATTTGAGCTTCTTTACGTATGGACCTCACTTTCGCTTTGCTCTTAACATATACGGATTTGTGGAAATTCTTTGGAGTTTAAAATCATTTTTCGCAATTAGTTGGCAGTGCAGCATACAGAAGTATTTGTTATTGTACACAAAAGATTTGACAGAATGATTTTTTTCTTAGAGATTCATTTATGCTTTTGGTGATTGGATTGTGGTTTTATGGTCGCATTTACACCTGCTGTTATTTTTTTGTGGGTTTTTTGGTCTTTTAACTCACTGGAGTTGCTCCAAAATCACAATTTTCACAAAAAACATATTCGAAAGTTTAGCAAATTCCAAAAATGAACACAAGTCAAAAACTACTTTTCGATACAGGAATTTGGAAATTGTTTTTTTTTCTACACGGACTGACCAATTAGTAAAAAAAAGTTACCGTTAAAGTCTAATAAGTAACTGCTACATTAAATATATACATATATATATATATTTTTCTTTTTTTACTTTTTATTGTAGGTGATACTTTCGTCTGTGCTGTTTTATGGCTTTTGAATATTTTTATAATTATTTTTTGTGCTTAGGGTTGGGGAAAATTCTTATCACAATAGCGCATCACTACAAATTACAACAAATACATTTACGTATACAAGTTTTCGGCGTTGTAATTTCACTTAATTAAAGCTTGTTGTTGTATTATAAATTTATTCACACTATTTTTTAAACTTTTACATTTATTAATTTTTTTCTTTCATGCAGTTCTTTTATTGTACATATACCGGCACACTTTCCTTTTCGGCTTTAACTGAAGGTCCCTTGTGTAATCTGGAATTTTACGATGAGTAATCCATATATTATACCGTTAACCAATAAGCAAAAAATTTTTATATTCTTCGTGCAACAACAACAGCAAATCAGCTGAGTTGACAGGTTGGCCATTAAACGCGGCAACAACAATTAAATATCGCTTTCAATGCGTTGTTGCCTTTAAATCCGCACTAAAATCAAATTAATGAGCTCTTTTCACAAAACTCGAGCAGGGAAATGAGAGAATACAAAAATTTAATTCAAACGCGTCCAAAGTAAACATTCACCGACGCCGAAGTGTCTATTGTAATTAAGCGTGCGTGTTAAAGGGCAGCAACCATGAAGCGTTTCGGGCGGCCCGTCAACCATTACAGGTGGAACTTTTCTCCATGATTTTTGTTTATTTCTTCCTTGACAATTATCGGTGTTTTCTCTGCGGTGTGTGTGTGTGCCTTGGCATTTAACATTGACACACACACCGCTATACAAATATTGATATTGAACACGCAGCGTGCGGTTGTGGTCGTGATTTCCACGAAATCGCAAAGTGCCGCGCAAACATGCAACCAAATTGATATGTAGGTAAGTAAATATGTTTGAAAATTGTGCGCACAAACTCAAAGCTCCTAACACATACGGAAAAGCTGCCTTAAGTTGTGTGCGTCTTTTATTGATATGTGGGTGAATGTGTTGTATGAAAAACAAAAATTTGAATACTTTCGTTGGCAATAAACAATATGAATATTGAGCGAAATACAATTGTTATAGGTACACATTGAGTGAGTGAGCATTTTTGTGTAAAGTGTGTTGAAACAGCAAATTAAAAGAAAATATATATGATTTTATGAAATATATGATATAATCTACATTTTGAATTTAAAAAAAAATTCTTAAAATTATGTAATTGAACATTGAGGGTAGCTCAATAAGAGTCATGAACTCATAGAGTACAATGTGAAATTAAAACTTTTGAATCAAGAGAATAGATAAAAAAAATTGTGAAACTAAATTCGTGCTTGTAAGCACTATCTTATAGTGTTTGAATCAAACTGATATGAGGTAGTTAAAATCCTCATCTCCATCCACAAATACAAGATACTCTTTATAAGAACTTTGTTCGATCAGTTTAAATTGCAGCTATATGCTATAATCGTCCGATATCGGCCATTTCGACAAATCAGTAACTTCTTGCTGAGAATAGAGCGAATGCGTAATTTCAGATCGATATCTCCAGAACTGTGGGACAAGTAAGTTCGCATATATAGACAGACGGACGTTTTTTAGGGAACATTTCTTCAAAAACTTTTTCTTGTACAAATCAAACAGGTTGAATCTCATTTCTATGAAAGGAAGTCACTATAATGCATATGTATTTAGAACCGCGAAAACATCAAAACCTGAACAAAGTCATCCATAATTGACCGATAAATGGGGTTCATCAGATGATAGCTGACATTCTAGATATATCATGGAACGTTTTAGAAAACTTGGTTACTTAAAAAGAGGGTGCCACGCGAGTTTTGCAATGTCAGAAATCAATAAAAACGATGATAAAATTGTATGTCAAATTCATCATTCAAAAAATTCATTCATCGTATTCTTCGCATTTAGCCTTCAGTGACATTAAGTACTATTACTAGATGTCAACAGAACGATAGCTGAACGGAAACGACGGCACAAATCTACTATAAATATTGAAATGTTAGAAAATCGATTGCACGTATGTATGTTGATTAATGAAATCGAAGCTGGAAAAAATATAGCCCTCTTCATAACGATATGAACCCTTCAAACTGCCTATTATAGAGTATGAATTTGACATTAAATTTGACATTAATATGACTACAAACCCTAAGGAAACATCGGCAATCAATACCAATGATTCAACCAATGTCAATAAATTCAGAGATCTCATCCCTTCAACTTTACATGGATTATTTAGACAACCGATAGGTTTGAAGCATATGAATTTGGTAGTGTTCGCTACTTTTGATATTAAACACACATTGAAGTGTTTTCCCAATATTTGAGAATTCGAGATTGTGTCCAATTTATAGGTTATTAATAAGAAATGAAATATTTTTGATGCGATAAACACGAAAACACTCTCACAAAAATGCTCAATGCAAATGAAAAAACTATACCAATACATATGGAAGAGCATTATCATCAAAGAAATATTTTCCAAAATTATGTAACTCGTATGTATGTATAAATGTACGGACCACTTAACAATGCCATAAAATACGATTAACGCTAATAGTTCAATAATTTGGTCAAACAATTCATTCAATATTAATGAAAATGCTACATTTCACATTTATGTGGCATTGAGTGAGATACCCAATAACAACAACCACAATTGAAGACGCGTGCGAAATATACGAAAGTCAAAACGTGCCAATTCACGGGGAAATACCCATCAACACCTGAGCATGCCAAGGAAAGGTAGACATATACATACATACATATATATTCTATCCCGCTAAAAGTTTTTGTATGTGTGTGTATATATAGTGTGTTTGCGGATGGGATTGTAAATGTTATGTATTGATACTATGTCCAAGAACAACAAGTTCACATACAGTCATATTTACATATATGTAAGTATATTTATTTACACAAAATTGGTTAATAAAACGGTATATATGCTTGCTTTTGTGGTGCCACAAATCTATTATATACCACACACATACATACACATGTAGCATACATTAGATGGTTTACACTAGCAAAATATACAATACAAGCTAACTTATTGACAATATAAACAGCAAAAACAAGAACATCATAAATAACAAACCAACGACACTGATCAGCAACAACAGCTGCAAGCAAGCGGAAATAGTGAGAGCAGCGAGCAATGGATGCTTCGGGCTATATTCGAAACACACACATGCATATATGTAAACATTTCCACACTTATGCACTCAAATACATATTCACGAATGCGTACTTTTTAGTTCGATAGCCAACAGCGTCGTTAGCAAAATAAAAAGAAAAGGTGAAGTTCGAGAAATTTGGGGCAAAAATGTTGTACACGAGAGTGGCGACACCCTTTGTTATTGTAGTTGTGGTGTTGGGCGCACGAAGAAAAATAGCAAAATTTATAAAAGAGCTTGCGTATTGAGGATTTCGCTGAAGAGCGCCAAAGAGAGAGTGTGTATGTGTGTGTGTGTTTTTTTTTGTTTTACGAAATCACGACAAGAATTTGGAATAGAAAGATGGAAATATGAAATAATGTGGAAGCTAAATGTATAGGCAAGTTTATGTACATATGTATGTATTTATGTATATAAATTACATATAATATCATTTATTATTTATTTTCAAATAATTTAGCAACATTTGTATGCTTTACGACGACACACATACATAGAAGATTAGTAATTCCTTTCGAAAGAACAAAGAAGTATTTTTTGAATGCGGATATGAATTACAGAAACTTTAAAGAACCCTGCTGGGAAATGTAGTACGTTTTCAGTCACCTCGTCGTTTCGATTTTGAGCACTTATTATAAACATCAAATTAACTTTTGAATTTAAAGTCACTCTGAAATAAACTGTTATGTCCGAAATCCTTAAACTATTTTCGCTGAAGTTTTCAAGAGAGACATTTAAACTCGCTAGATGCCGCTGAAGCTTAGTTTCTAAGAAAAATATGATTTATAATTCGATTTCGTCACTATTCAAATTCTCATTGATAATATTCACTTTGTTATTTCGTAGCATAATTGTCATTAACAGTCGGCACAGATCATAAATAATTTAATTTTAGTCGTATTATAGATTTTGAACACCTATCTTATAATCGTAAGCGTTGTTAATAGTTAAATAATCAGTTTATCATGTGAAAATAAAGAAATTGCAAAGAAAACGGAAGACTGCATAATTCACTTTCTTTGAATGCCATTTCTATACCGTGAACAGGATATATTAAGTTTGTAACACCCAGAAGGAAACGTCGGAGACCCTATAAATTATATATAAATCATCAGCCTAACGAACTGGCTTGATTTAGCCAAGTCCGTCTGTCTGTCTCTCAGCTATTGATATCTTTCTGAAATTTTGCACACGTGCTTTTCTCCTCAAGAAACTGTTTATTTGGTTGGAAACGCGGATATCGAATGATTGTAACATATAGCTGCCATATAAGCTGACCGATCAAAATCAGGCCCTTGTATAAAAAACTTTTTATTTGACAAGATATCTTCACGAAATGTGGCATAGTTTATTATTCAAGGCCGCGTTACAATCTCCGAAGTTACACTTTTTTCATGTTTTGGACTAACATAACATCTTTCCGATTGCATTTCGGTGTAAAACCTTTAACTAACTTGCAAATTTTGAAAGAAAGTAAAATCAATATTTATATATATTTGATGAGAACACATAACATAACATTTTAAGTTCACCTCCGTCATTTGCTTTACTTTTCAGAAAAAAAATTCAAAAATATATAATCACCTTTATGCCTTGTTGTTTTGTCATCCCGAATAAAAAGATTTTGATTTACTCTAAATTTGTGAGTGAATATCCTTGACATCAGCACAAGTTTACCACTGTAGAGATAATATTCGCATAAAATATTCAAATATTATTTCATTTTGTACGACACTCATTTTAACCCCTACATTTATGAACTTGATATATAATATTTTCTACTACTCCTGAAAGTCTTGCAGTCAGTTGTTCAAAAGCAACATATCCGCACACACACAAATACACACTTTTATGCGCGTCTACGCATTTTTACAGCTGGTGGTTACTGCTCGCTTGTCTGGCCTGCCTCATGCGAAAAATGCTTACGCCAAAAAAAATTCAATCGTTGGCAGTGGGGCACTTCGTCATATCGACACACATGCTCACATATAAACATACACATACACATGTACGTGTAAATATTGTATCATTGTGTGTGTGTGTGCGTATGCGCCCCTACCATAGTGCTCTTGTTAGTCTTCTTTGTGACTCGGAAAATTCTCTACAACGTCATTATCAATTCACTTTACGAGCACATTTCGTAGCGTGTGGAGAGTTCTACAACGCACCCTTCCAAAGACGTCGGTATGTGTGAGTATGTGAGAAAACACGTAGCACAGAGTAATTTTTGTTGACAATATGTGATTGCCATACATCGCCAACTGAGCGTATGAAAAAGTGAATGGCGAATCACTAAAATCCTAAACTCTTTCAAAATCAAAGTAAAGACTTGTATTACACTTTTCGATTGATCGAGTTCAACGACTACACTAATAGTCGCCAATTCTCGGTTTGAGTTCTATTCCATGTTGAAATAATTAGCTGCGGAAGCAATAACAAAATTATTTTAGAAAATTCAATTCAAGAGTATATTAACACTTGATAACTTATTCTATCCTGCCGCTGTTTGATTTAACCCAGTTGTTTGTTTCTTTGACTACTTGAAACTTTACAAATATTAGTGCAAGTTACCTCAAAACAGACAAGAACCTCAACCCCCCGTACTATTAAGAATTTGCTATGTTTCTGATGTATGATAAATGTACTCGTATATATTCGTATATTGTTTAGGATCGTTAAAATGTTTAAACTGCTCACCATAGGTCGTTTTCAGGTGAAGTGAAGTACTAAGTAAGTATCAAATAGTCCAAAGGTAAAAATTGAAATATAAAATTATAGTAGGATGAAACACATTGAAAAACGAAGATAAAATAACAAAAATGAGGGAAAATAAAATTTACGAGCAATCTGAGGTCGGGAAGAGAAAGAAAGTATCGATAGTTCTTAAGGGTTAAAAACTGGTTGGTTCGATTTCCGGCAAAACTACGAGTAATACGGAAAAAAGTTTAATGGCAAAGTTTGTTGGTAATACAAAAGATCTAAAATTTTTGTGTTAACACTTTCGTCACATAACCTTAAAATCAATGTAAAAAATTAAATAACCAGTTTTTTGGTTTTTTATTTTTAATTTTTACAAAAACAAAAAACAAAAAGAAATTTCTTTCACGAAATTTTCTTCTACATTTGTGCAGATTAAGCTACTTGATGGGTGACTGCTCAAAGACAATTGACGCTACGGGCTAAAATCTCGGTAAGTTACTAATATTATAACAATTAATTCATTAAAATTAATAACGGTAAACATTTTTAATCTGATATCCCCCTGATTGGTACTTATTATAGTTTCAAGTTCAACGTGTATTCATCAAGTATACATTTTTATTTAAATAGCGAATGTTTTGCATAAGTTCCGAAATCAAATTCGAAGAATGGCAACACTGTGAGAGAATGCGTTTTTTTTATTAATGTCAATTGCACATCTTCCTTTCATTGTGTTTTTTTCCACGCCAGCTGACAGTTGCATTGCTTTATACCACATGTATATATGTATGTATGTGAATTGTGGATTCGGTATGTGGGGGTGGGTGGTGAAATTTTCGGGCGCTGAGAGCGCGCACACATATTTTGCTAGTCAACTAATTTTCGTAAATCTCTCACACGATTACGCTCATTCACTAGCTTATTTTGCGCCCGAACACTTTTCATGGCGATTGCTTTGTGCGAATGCATTGTTGTTGTCTTATAGTTGTTAGTGCTACTGTTAGCTCGTGCAGAAGCACAGTTGGCTTGCCATTCTATGTTGGCTATTACATTTTTGTTGTTTTCCAATTAAATGTTGTACATTGGTACGAGGAATATGATGCATTTCCGGATATTATTTTGGTAGCTTGTGCAAAGAAATTTTTTTTAAGTTTGCTTTTAATGACGATTTCATGCTACCATTGCGTACGGGCAACTTGTGCGGAAATTCAAAAATTTAGAAATATTTTCCTCAGATTTTGAATTTGTGACACTTTTTTGGCACATCCAAATATATTGATTTGTGTTTTTTTTTAACAATTTTATTGTGAACCACTGTTTTTAAAGTTTCTTACAATGCACTCAACAACACCGTTTCTTCATAAATACTACACCAAAATAATTTATAAAGATTTTTCCTTTTCTTATTATTTGAAGTGCCCTTCCGTAGGGGTGGTCCAGTCGACCAGAATCGTTAACTGCCTGTCCGTCTGTCTGTTCAACGACAACACTACTACGCTGAAGACGACAGCAATGACGACCATCACAACAACAAGGTTGCAATAGTGAGCTATTCGCTCGGCCTGGTGTTTGCCTGCCTGCAATTAACGACGTTGAAAACGCCAACGAGCACGTCTCCGACGACGACGACAACGAAGTTGTGAAAAATGTGTGCATGTGCCTTTACACTTGTGTGCATGTGTGTATAGATGGCAAAAGAAGAAAAAATTTTCGTACGATAAAAAGCACAATAATTTTTCCCCATTTAATTCATAACTTTTAACTAAGTTTACAGGTAGTTTTTGCATGGATTTTTATTGAACATTTATTTACCACTCTTTTGGCTTACTTTTCTTACACTATTTTCCGCACTATACACGAGCACTTTATGGCGATTTTCGTTTTAAGCATATTTCGATTTCGATTTTTATAAATTTTTTTTTAGACATTCTCTGAACATTTCGAGAAAAATTGTGCAAAATTTTGTAGAAAAACAAGACGATTTCCTCAAAGCTTTTCGCTACTTTTGGTGCAGTTTGTACATTCTTTTCTATTTCCTTAGATATATGTATGTATATATATATATATTCTTTTCTCTTTTGCTACATTCACTATTGCATAGAGCACTGAGCCTTTAAATTCCTGCTTCTACTGATTTGCTTCCGTACACGGCGACCACGACGTATCCACTATTATGGCAGACATTATGGGGAACGTACGAATTGATACTGGGCCAAGCAGTTCTGGGTTGATTTATTTCAACACTCAGTTTATTCAGTTATTCTTGCATACACCTTTCGCTCTTTCATTCTATTCATCCTTGCTGCGTTGGGTGGCGCGTGAGTGAATTTGTGCTAGCCGACTGTTGGCGAGAGAGCCACTACCACTCGCTACACATTTACCCATGCTAGGCCGCCACTCCACTACGCTATTTTGCATGCTTTCCGAACCGAAATCGTTAAACTAATAAGTTCAATGTGGTAGGTAAATTGTACAATAAGTGAGAGAAAGAGAGAAATTTTCAAAAACAATACAAAAAAAATTAAATATAGCAAACTTGAGCGCCAGCGCAAAATCAAGTATGTGAGAGCCCAGTAAAAGGAGATGAGAGTAAATGAAAAACGTGTCGTACCAGCAGGCTCTTCTTCGTGAAACAGGTTAAAACTGGGAAACTTTATAATGGGGTGATTTTTCTGTTTCAGGCATTTTATTGTTGTTACTGTAATCAACACTGCGTACATAGTTTTAGATAAATACATATACCATATTTATGGTATATATGTATATTTGGTTAATGTAGGTAAAAATTAATATTTTTTTTATTTCCATACGCTTGTTGTGTTTCAGAAACTTTTGTGTAAGAAAAATTATTTATTGTGTAAATCAAAAGAAAGTGAAAAAGATCTATTGTGACCAGCTCCGCCAGTCCGAACAGTGGTTTCGCGTCCTGTAGGACAACAACACACTTACTAAGGTTCACTTATGGGCCACACCAAAAGCAAGGTCACTGCCGCAACAAAGATTGAGGTTGTTGTTTAAGGTGAAAGAAATGTGCATTAAAGTTGAAAATATACTATACTTATTAATGCTTTCTAAATTTAGAATCCCTTCTTCCAAAGCCACCCCTATAAGAATAATGCGGCATATGAACTAAGAAAATTTGTTTACAAATTGTTTGTTTTCAACACGAAAATAGAAAATATATTTGGATTCGTAAAAGTTTCTAGGAATAATCCACTATCCACTATTCTAGGAATAATCCACTAATCAGTTTTTGAGATATCGATCAGAAATTTTGCACACGTCCTTTTCTTTCCAAGAAGCTACTTTTCAGAATCGCCAAAATAGGACCATATAGCCGTCATACAAGCTGATCGAGGAAAAACAAGTCTATGTAGGGAAACCCTTTTTATTTTGCAAGATATATTCACGAAATTTGGCACATACATATGACTTTTTTATTTGACAAATTATCTTCACGAAATATGGCGTAGATGTTGAGATCTATATATCTATCTATATAGCATATCTACTATAGCATAAAGATTCCATACAAACAGACCGATCAAAATCAAGATAAAGATCTTGTATACCCTTATATGCTATAAGAAAAGAACTGGTTAAAGTGTTATAACTTTGGTGGAGCCGAATTAACTGTTTTTCTTGTTTCTATAAAAACTATGTAAATATTATATTTTCTCATTTTTTCTCTCAAATATGAACGATTTACAAAATTTGTGTAAAAAACTTAGTTCTAAAGAGCATTTGTTCTAAAAAAAAAAATATGATAGATTTTTATTTTTCCACATTCTAGTCTTGAGGCTTAAATTTCCTGTAATTTTTGAAGTGTCGTAAAAAACGGCAATTAATATTTTTAACATCCATTTTTTATTGATTATTGATTGATTGATGATTAACATTTCAAGAATACAGGAAAAACTCAAAAAATAAAAAAGAGAATTGGCACTTGACCATACCCACGATTTCAACCCTCCGAGCAATCCGAAGCAAAAAAAAAAAATTATTAATCTAGCATAATGTCGCAATGTCTGGTTTTACGAAAAAGTTGGAAAAGAAAATTCATAAAATCGGGGCTGCGTTAAAAAAAAAGTTGTGTACCACTTTTTTTCAATGATTCGAATTTAAAAAAAAACAGTAAAAATTTGGGGATGTGAATAGTTCCAAACATAGGCAAATCTATAAAGAAGACTCTCTAAAAATTTCAGATAAATAAGTCCTGTAGAACCTGAGAAATTTTGGTTATTGTTTTGAAACAGACAGTTTCGCGTATACCTATATCTCCGCGTATCTACATACTTGTATGTCTCCGAAAATAATTTGAATTTTGAAAAATCTTCTTGTATACATATTTTTGAGTAGCTATATTTTTAAATAAAAACAAAATGATTGTTTTTTATTTCTATATCTCCGAAAATAATTTGAGTTTTGAAAATCTTTTTGTAGGCAAAATCTTGAATAGTTAAATTTTGAATATTTCTAGAATAGAACACTCGCCTAATCTCATAAACGTGCTCTATTCGAGCATGTTATTCTACCTGTATTAGATTATGACAGTCCATTTATACCAGGTGCTTGTTCGATTCGGCACTATCCAAAATTTGGCGATTTAAATACGGATAGTGTTGTATATCTAAGAAATTTATTAGGAGAGGTATGACTCAACAAAAATGTGGAAAACATCGTCTCTAAGCATAACAATTCTGCAATCACTTTACATACCAGGCCAAGCACGAACAGTTTTACGACACTAAAAGAATTTATTGGAATTATTTTTGAAAATTTCTATTGAAGTGCTATCCAGATTTGCAAATTTTTAATGAACCTTCCACCTTCCATCCGCTGCAAAAGTCTGGCCATAAATAACGAAATTTCAAAAAATACTTGTCTAAAATATGGTGAATTATTTAATCTCACCACCAGAGTCCTTATGACACCTATTGCTTAATAAAGTTTGCTGTATCAAGTCAAAGTAGACATATTTTATTGATAACTGTAAAAATTGCTTAGCTGAAAAAAATTAGAAAAGATTAATTCATATGCCTGTATGTGTATATATACAATATATTTCGATGACAAATGAAAAGCAGCACAAATACATACTCATCACACAGATGATTCACCCTAATCTGTACGCATTGAGATACAAATAATTCATTTTCATGAGAGTTATGCGTTATGGGAGATCGAGAAAAGACACTAGGATACTACGGACGACAGTCGAACAAAACTCCATTAACATTTATGGTCATCGAATGAATGTCCCAGATTTCAAACATTTCTACAACCAACTTGAACGCTGGCGAATGCAAGGAGCAGTGAGCAGTGAGCAGTAAGTAGCAGCAGAAGCAGTACAAATGAAAGAGTAGTTTTTATTGGCAACTTGAGATGCGAGACGCAACAACATAGAAGTTATTTAAATACACACGCGTCAACACACACACACACGCAGCTTAGAAGTTCGCACGTGAATTGCTGAGGCAGTGAGCAGTGTGCGCCTGGCCACACTGAAGAGCAAAATCAACAGAAGCAGCAACGATATCAACACCAACAACACTACTGCGTTTGTGCATTGCGTGATTTTTACTGCGTCGTAGTTGTTGTTGCTTCCAAAGTCTGTCGACCGAGTAAATGTAAACGTCATATGTGTCATATACACATTAATACTATATGGTACATGTGTATAAAAGGCACGAACGACCACTGAGCACGCCACTGCTAAGTCACATAATGCAGCAGAGGGGTGGCTGTCTACAGGCGCACACACACACGCCACAATGTGAGGCACTCGTTTGTGGAGGCCTGCGTAAATGCGTTACTAAGTGCGTAGCAATATTTCACACAAAGCTTCTGCAGCTCTGTTGTAGCCCCCGCAAAGCGCTTGAGACTATTAACACAGCTGCTGTCGGCCGTCTACGCTTCGGACATGTCGAACGGGCGAACATACATATATATTATGTTGTTGTTTTACTTAATGCATGTAAGTAATTGCATTGTTTTAAATTTATTTTATGCCACCGGAACAAGACAGACTAACACTCGCCTTGTGCGATCCGGTATTTGCATTTCCATTTCCATAAAACCTTAAGGGGCGAGCTTTGATTGGCATTATTGCAAAGAAGTCCCTTGACGTTTGCAGCCTAACAGCTTGCAACAGCGTTGCATTCTGTGCAGCATGGCGATTTCAAGAACATCAACTCACTCGCTTATAAGCTTGCTGGCTTTTGCCAAGAGTAAACTTATCTAACTGTTTATACTCATGCGCTCAAATTAACATATACTCGTAACTACTTGTAAGCAAATATTCTTTGTAAATGTTGGTTTCCGGTAAAAACACAACAACAACAACAAGTTGTGTTTGTTGGTAGTCAGTGATGGAAAAAGTATAATGGAGAAGAGTGCTAAAATTTTATTGTATATTAATTACTTATACAAATATACATACAAAGGTTTACCATAAATGAAGAAAAACAGAGTGGACAATATGTTGCCTAGACGAAAGTGAGGAATGTGTAACGATGAGGTAATAAAACTTTAGATATTACTGATATTTACACTTAAGAATTTTGTTGAATGAATATATAATATAATGTTTGTTTTTTTATATATTTTTATATTTTGTAAAGCGAAATTTGACAAAGGAAAATAAATTCCAATTTCCGTTACTAAAAATGTATACATTTTCCTTTCAAACCGTTTGGTAGCATTCATAAACTAATTTTTGCTGTGTGATACCAGAACTGAATGTGTAAGGTCTAGTAAAAAGGAATTCGTTATTTTTATATTAAAATGTAGGATTTATTGGGCATTTTTAGAATGATCCGATTTAGATAAAATATACATCGTTTTGTTCGATAACTTGCTAAAAAACTGGGATAGTCAATTTTAACGAATTTTTCTCCAACAAAATCATTCGCTATGGAAATGATTAGATAGTAATCACTTGGTATCGATTTGTGAGTATGGCCATAGAGGAGCAGTTCATAGTCCCTTATTTAAATGGATCCAGTTTGCATAATGTACAATACCGATACAATGCCTACATAATGGTCGGACGATTTCTTTTATTTTTGACGATTGGCCTTCAAGAGTATAAATACACTATATAGGGTTTCCGACGTCTTCTTCTGGGTGTTACACACTTCATGACAAACTTAATATACCCAGCTCAGGGTATTAAAAGAACATACTTATTCCTTTAAATATTTTAAAAAA